TTCATATTGAACAAATGCTTTAATCGCTTCCTCCTACGAGAAGAAAAGCTTTTTTTTATGTATATTTATATGTATAAATGTAAATAATATTTCAAATTGCAGCAATATATTACCACACTGTTATATGCAACATTGCTTCCAAACGGCCTAACTGGTAATGGGATATCAAGAAATGTATCTTCTCTTGATTTCTCTGTTCCACACTCAAGACATTTAACGTAATCGATCATCTTTCCTAGCGACATAGAAAGCAAATTACAGATATTTTCACAACTTACGCATAATGATATTTTGTACCTTCGTAAAGTCTATTGATTAGATCCGCTTGTTCTGTATTTTTGAATTTCTGTTCCAATGCATCGAACATAACTCTACAAAGTTCTTGAATATCATGCTGCTGCCATGCTTCGGTAGAATCCCACCCGAAACTTTTGGTTAAGGATGTTGTTTCCACTGCAGATCTTGTAGATGTCTATTTAAAAAAAATGTGATTATTAAAAATTATTTTGAAAACAATAATATTAAAAACACAAAAATTAAATTAAATATACGTTTAAAAATACATTAAATTTATTAAGATATTAAGATTATAAGCACACGTTGTACCTGTAAATTGAGAAATAATTTCTGTAATTGATATGGTATGCTTAGAGCTTCATCCTTTTCTGAACCATCTACGTATTCCCAGTTGTACAGTGCATTACGAAATTCTGGTGTCATGTACAACGCTTGGAGAAGACTGTTCAAGTAACAAGTCATTGCTTGATTGACTAAACCGACATAGCCTTGAAGAAATTACAAAAATAATTATACAGATATATATATTTAACAATACTAAAAAAAGATCTTCGTTAATATATACGAATATATATTAAAATAACTCTTAAATGGTGCTTACATACTTGTTTCAGTTTTAATAAAACTTCTGAAATTAACTTCTTCTCTACCATCTCTAACATCTTCCCTAACATCTTCCCTAACATCTTCCCTAACAATATTTTCCTCAGTCCATCGTTGTTGAAGGGACGGTGCACTTGTGAGATTATACGTTGGCAGATTATAATCCATGTTTTTCGGTGGTGTTAGATCAATAACAAAGGGTACTGTTGGATCAACGACAAATAGAGTATTTTTCACTTCAGATAAACTCGGATCAACTGAGAAATCCACTCCAATCTGCTCCACCGTTTTGTCTTTCACATCAGACAAATCAACCTAATATTGGATATAATATGGATTAGAGTATTAGAACATGTATGATTACACATCATATGTAGTATTAATTATATATATTTAAAGTAATTAAGATGTAATTAAAATAACCATTGTGCATGACGATGTGCATAGAAGTAATCTAAAACTGTCCAGTTGCATGTGATAATGTTCTTCAATATAGCTGTAAAGTTCCTTCACGCGTGTCGATGCATATAAGGAAAATTTGTCGCTAGTGCAAAGTTTATGGTTAGCCTCAAAAGGTATATTAAACTGAACGACACATACTTGAGTCTTTTCACCAGCTTTGCAAACCATGATCTGCGAACAAAATGCCAAGCACATAAGTTTCATTAAATCACATATTTATTATAGCAATTAAAAAAAAAAATATATATATATATATATAATCTAGGAGTGTTATGACAAATGCATTGTTATGACAAAATAACTTTCTAAGAAAAACTAATTGTACGATCTCATTTAGTTCAGATATAAATGTAATCGTAGATAAGTATAGTGCCAAATTGTATCTAACTTTAAATAAAACTTGTGTATTATCAGATTATAAAAAATAAAAATCTTTAGAATGAATCACATAATTATCGATAGTCTTTTAATAAAAAGCTTTAGATAAAGATTTATTAAAAGACTATCTTAGCAAAGACCTTTTGATAAGAAAATTATTACATTTTAACACACTATAGAACGAAAAAAGCACGTATATCTCATTTATTAATGGAATATAGAATTTGGAAAGGTGATTATTAAAAAATCATCAGATACTTTTGAGTTGACCAAATTTGGCATTCTGCCATACTGACGGCGGAAAATGAGCAAGATCTACGCAACACAGCAGGATGCTGCTCTGCGCGGCATGACACAGTACGGAAAGCCTATAGAGCCTCCAGCTATATTTAGAATGTCTAAACCAAGCTTGTGAAATGGCTCTCTTTTCTGAGATCGCAACCCATCTCTCTTCCCGCCTCTCTGCTTTCCTATTTTATAATCTTCATTTTTTTTTTAATCGCGAGACAGAATTAAAGTATCAAACAATTATCACAATTACTTGAGATTACTAATTATAAACTCTCATTGTAACTGTTCTATATAAATCTAGTTTTGAGCTGAAGTAAATAAATTCTATCTATAAATCTGGTTCTGCGTTATATATTTAGTACTCTTATTTAGTTATTATACACATATATAAGTCAAGTTTCATTTTTTATTTTATATTTCTATAAAATAGGAATTATCTTTATCTTGTTTTATTTGTTATTATAGATAGCACTGACTTTTTCAAAAATTACAGGCAACGTCTAATTGAATAAAGATAAATAATATGCAATGTTTCAGTTGAGATTATGTACATCTAAGATACATTTTATAAAGAATTGAAAAACCTGGGGATTAGATTAAATTTTATTATTGAGCTTACCTATTTCTTTACTGGTCTATTATTGATGTATGCTCTAACGTAGAAAGCTTATTCCTAACCAACTGATCCAACCTGAAAATGTAATAAAACACATAAGTATAATATTATAAATATAACAATATATAATTAAAAATATAAATCATCTAATTTGAAGAATTAAAGAAATTAATCAGACAAATATCGTTACGAGTGACACGTGCCGTTCATAAATTTCAATTTTACCAAAATATAACTTTATATTTCTTATAGTATTTTCCACGACGTATTTACTTTTGCGACATGCACTTAACGCGCTATAACTCTGTTAGACATGATAAATTTTGCCTAGAGCGATAAATATCAATCTATTCAATTGCAGTAAGCACAACTGGTGTTCGATAAGTGATTTAACAATCGATACAGCAACATGTAAGATAACAATAATTAAAAATAGGAGATTCTCAGCGTTCAAGGTATTCAAATAAGACTCCGGTAGCCTCTGCAAGATATCGTATTCCAAATACTTCGTGTAGAGAACACGGAGGAGCAACGGAAGAGACACTGTTTCAAACAAATCGGCGTCTCGACGGGGACGTTCCCGTTCTCATCGGGGATCTCTCGACCCGGTTGCATCGTGCCGCATTACTAGCATCGCTCGCGCGTCACGCGTGTATTACGCGCGTTATGTAAATACAGATATCTGCTTAGTCGCGCCAGAGAGTAATCGTATAGGTATCGGCGACAGTTGGACCCACGGCGGCACGACACTCAGGAGATCGGAATGCGTCGCCGCGTCGGGGAAAGCTAGCTCTGCTTAGCGCGTGCACCCGCGGCGCGCGAACCAAGCCGCGATCGGGCGATCGGCGCGGGGCGACGAGCGACCGCGGAGCGGATCCGCGTGTCTCGCGCGCGCGGAATGGTCGCCGATACGGCGTTGCGACGACTTCCGAGAGCGGGTTATTACCGCGGCTGTGCGCGATTCGATTGAACGAGCAGATCCGCCGAGACGGGCGGACGAACGGCCGGCCGAGCGAATTTCCGCGATGACAGAGCGGAGACTGACCAAATGTGGCCAAAAGAGAGTCCAGCGTCCTCTCGCTCTCTCTCGCACTCTCCCCGTGCGTCACCCGAGCCGCGTTCCCGGCGTGTTCCCCGGCGAATACGTCGCCGGGAGCCGCGCGGCGTGCCGTTCCCGACGTGTCCGACGGCACCGTTACCCGCCGCGGCCAGCCGGAGCACGCTCGCGGTTCGCGCCGACCTCGCGATTCAACACAACTGGCCCCTTACCGAAATCACTGACACATGTGCAACGCACTCACTTTACGCCATGTTTTCCTGCACGGCGCATCACTCGCTCACGGGAGTCACGGGGCGCTGGAGGCTGGACGGTCGCGCGGGTGGAGGGAGAAGGGGAATTATCGGCCGGTGCTGCACCCTGCCGTCGCCTCTCGCCTCTTCGAGGTAACGCGAGTAACGGGATCTCGTGAATCTCATCCTCTTCTTTTCACCGCTTTTCGTTCTCTCTCTCTCTTTCTTCTCTCTCGATGCTCCGTTTCGCGTTCGGCACCCCGGTGCAATCAAAACCCTTTTCACGGCTGTATATAGTTAAAAAAAAAGAAAGTGATGGAGAGAGATAAAGCGCGATGTTGCATTCCCAAAGGACAGTTGTTCATTAAAAAAATTAAGAATCTACACCGACCCTCTTCTCAATAAAAACTTACATCAATTAGCACGCAATGTTACTAAACTGGCTTTCCAGCCTTTTGTTTTACTTGCGCAGACGATTAATCTCTGTTGAATTTATCAATAATTAATTAATAATAATTTAAAAAAAAACGGAAGGCGCGACGAAGCTGTCAAAGCGTGAAGTGTGTCACAGACGTAACATAACGTGTTTCTTATCTTCATATGATAAAAGAGGGTAAGCCTCCATAAATTAACCGACGTCCGCCGATTACTCATATATTTTCCTTTCGGTGAACAGGATTTGCATGCGTGCGGTTAACCGAGAATTGGATTTTAATTTGAGGAACTTGGAGAGTAGGGATGAAAGAGGACGTACGAAGTGCGATTAAAATCTCGGGATGTGAAATAATTTCGGTTTTTTTTCACGAGGAATATCTATCTGCTTGTTATCAGACACGCTCTTATCGCGCTGCGTCTTCCCGCTGGATTTTGAATCAGGAGCAACCAGATGACGCTACGTAAGTGTGACGCAGGTCGCTTTCTTTTTTTCCCAGTTGTTATGACGTTACTCCACACTCCACGGTGCCGCACTATGGTTTGACAGGCTCCGACGGGACGAGAAATGTCAATGAAGATCTGACGCGTTGACGGACTCGAGACCGTAAACAAGGATTGTTTTCGCACCATGGACCTGGCCAAGTCGTTCTTCAACGTTCGTGATCACGATGGTTATGTCGGGAAAGACGAGCACAGCGTGAGTACCCGCGCGGTCGAGTCGTTCTGACGCTCGGTCGACTTCTGCTCCAGATTGATAAGCGCGTGAGATAACATGCGGAATCGAGTCCGGTTGACACCTCGCCAAGTCCAACTCGTTTCTCGGAGCCGTTTACAATGGTTCTTTCAGCGTGTAAAAGTATATTAAATGAAACTGAAACGAGATGGTGAATAAAGTGCCTAGAAATAATTAAATCTCTATATATGGTTAACTTCAAACTTGCAGTGATTGACAGAAAGGAAAAATGTATGAGAAATTAATCAAGAATATCGTATGAAAAAGAGATAAAAATGAATAATAAAATTTGTATGGACTTGGGATTTGTGATAGAAAATTTAAGTGTCTTTTTTTTCTTCAAAAACAAATTTAGATAAGCAAAGACTATCTTATATTGATCATTTACTTGCTGGGTTTACATTTGTCAAATGTAATTGTACGTTTTAGAAAAAATTAGAAACAGCTGTCTCTGAAGATGAGGTTGAAGTAGAAGTTGGAGGTTTATGTGGAGAGACCTTGTCGCCAGCGCCTGGTGGTCCCTTTTCAGCGTTAACTCCATCCATGTGGCCGCAAGATATCCTAGCTAAACTGAATCAACCCGATGATCCGAATTCACAGCCTGAATATAGGTAAAACTTATAATTAAATGTATCAAATAATATGTAAAACTTGGTTGAAATTCATAAAAAGATTATATGGTAAATATGCAGTATAGCGCCTCTCCGATTTTGTTGAAAAAAAAAGTTTCAACAAAATCGGAGAGGTTGGCGCTATACTGCATATTTACCGATTATATTTATAGACATCGTAGTATTGTAAAGTAATATTTATAATTGTTCTATTGACCTAGATTTGACGAATTTGGCTTTCGCGTAGAGGAAGAAGATGGCCCTGAACAGAATTCAAAAAAGTTACTAGGAATACCATTTGTCGAAGAGCCTCAACACAGGTTGATTAGTCATATTTACTTCACACAGTTAAAATATAGCTGTTACAATTGTATTTATAAAAGGGGTATAAAAGTATACAAAATTGGAATGTATTGATTTGTTCTTTTAGATTGCAATGGATCGCTCTCTTGGAATTCAGCCATAACAAAGAAGTGGCGGAACTCTCCTGGCAAAATATGGATCGAAGTCTACCACGTACAGATAAATTACGTGAAATGGTTCGCAGTGGCATACCCCATTCCTTGAGACCTCAAATTTGGATGCGAATGTCAGGTATGAAACAAAAATACAAATGTTAGACGACGAGTTATATGAAAATACGTTTTTTTTTAATTACAGGAGCACTTCAGAAAAAATGTTCATCGGAGATAACGTACAAAGATATCGTGAAAGCCTCGAGTAATGATGCATTAATGACCAATAAGCAAATAGAGAAAGATCTCCTTCGCATTATGCCGGCCAACGCGTGTTTCAGTCATCTCCATAGTACTGGTATACCGCGTTTAAGACGCGTTATGCGTGCCTTAGCTTGGCTATATCCTGATATTGGGTATGGAGAAGTATATGATTAATTTTATGACACTTTTGACTGCGTTCCGATATTCACTGGTAGTAAATATCGGAACGCAGCCTTTGATAAGTTAAATGTATAATATTAACATATAATTTTTATCTCTTGCTGTATCAAGTTACTGTCAAGGTACGGGTACGATGGCAGCATCATTATTATTACTTTTGGAAGAGGAAGATGCATTTTGGATGATGGCAACAATAGTAGAAGATTTGTTACCAGCTTCTTATTACTCTTCAACATTGTTGGGTAACACATTTTGCCAATCTTATAAAGTATTTGAAGTCAATGAAAATTTAGTGCGTTACGATAAATTATTATTATTATTTCCATAGGTATTCAAGCTGACCAAAAAGTACTTCGCACATTAGTAGCTAATTATCTTCCTGACATAGATCATGTTTTGGTGCAACACGATATAGAATTAAGTCTTATATCTCTACACTGGTTTCTAACTTTGTTTGCATCAGTTGTGCACATGAAAATATTATTACGAATATGGGATATGTTCCTTTTCGATGGATCTATAGTTTTATTCCAAATTACGCTTGGGATGTTAAAAATAAAAGGTATATATTTAATATATATTTTTTATAGAGCGAGTCTATTTTATAATAATTGAATTTTGTTATAAAATACTTAAATGTTCTTTCAGAAACAGACTTAAAACAACTGGAGAACTCTGCACAAATATTTAACGCTCTCTCAGATATACCAGGAGACATTGATGATGTGGACCAATTATTCAATGTATATTTCTCTTGATATAATTTTAGAAATACGTTATGACAAAACTCAACTATATTTTAATGTACAGAGTATCCGGTAATTATCGTGCCTATCTCTCGTAGGCAGGTAGAGCGGGTTAAATTAAAAGTTTTTTTTTGTTTTGTAAGTTTCTCAATAATTAATTTCTTATTAATTATTGAGAAACAAAACAATAAAGAACTTTTCCATTCAGTTTAACCCGCTTTACCTGCCTACGGGAGATGACACGGTAATTATCGGACACCCTGTGTATTTGATATATATATTTTAGGTATCTTTAGAAGTTAGTGGGTCACTGACAGACGTGTTAGTCGAGACTCATCGACGTCGTCACTTAGCTTATTTAATGGCTGATCAAGGCGGGCTAGTAGGAAATCCGGATGCGGTACCGAACTTGCCGAAACAACATCTGAATAGGTATAATGATGAAAAATACATTATATATTCCTATTTAATAACTAACAGTCACTGTAATTACAAATTCTTTTTTACTTTTCGTATATCCTTTGCGATACTTTTACAGACGTCAAATGAAGCGAACCAAATCAATGTTACAAACAATTTTATTTGGAAATGATGATAGTGAAGACGATGCAAAGTCTAAAAATATTCGTCAAACAGGTACATAATGCAGCCACGTAGAATTTTCAATCAAATTTATATTTTTATCTAATTTAATATATGAATTTTCAGAAATTCTAGTCGATCTGAGGGAATCTGTTTTACAAGTTGCGAGGCATTTCATAAATGTTGATCCAAAATTAAATAATGTTGCTCTTATAGCAGATTATACGATGGAAAGTCATGCGAAAGATCATGATAATTACGTCAATGTATCACGAACGCGAAAAAGAAGAGCAAAAGCTTTATTAGGTACAAATATATTTTCTATTGTTACATAGCGATATAATTAGAGAGGGATTAATTAGGAAGTGTGGGGATGTATTGGGGAAATCGAGATACAGAGTTAGAGGGGGGAGTGAGGGAAAGAGTTTGGACAGGGAAAGAGGTGCGACAAGGGTGTCCGTTAAATCCGGGTATATTTAATTTATTGATAGATATGGCAGAAGAAGTACTAAAAAAAGGTGGGTGGGAAAAAGTGTGTTTGTATATAAGATGCGAATGAGGGAGGGGCCTGTGCGTACACAACCATAGGGCTGTATACGATACATAACGATATAATTTTAATAACCATAAAAGTAAAAATTCTCATGTAACTTAACAGATCAAGTCAATTGAAGAATGCTGCTCTGCAAATATATTAATTTTGTTACAGATTTTGAAAGACACGATGACGATGAGCTTGGTTTCCGAAAAAATGATATAATTACAATCATTAGTCAAAAAGATGAACATTGCTGGGTAGGAGAACTGAATGGCTTGAGAGGTAATATATTTACGAAAGAAATTTTACAGTATTATTTGAATATTACGATAAAATAATTTTACGATATCATGAATCCTGCCAAATTTTTTAAATATTGTTTTGTCATTTTTTGCGATTTTTGTATTATATCCCTCTAATAATCATACAGACTCTCAAACAGACCATCAAAGTAAATTTTATATTATTTTCTCATTTTATGGTAAGTGCATGATATTCAATGTATTAATCTAACAATATATTTTTAGGGTGGTTTCCCGCGAAGTTTGTAGAATTGCTGGATGAACGAAGTAAACAATATACGTGTGCTGGAGACGACGCGGTTAGCGAAGCTGTTACTGACTTGGTAAGGGGTACATTGTGCCCCACTGTGAAAGCAGTATTAGAGCATGGAATGAAGAGACCATCATTTTTGGGCGGACCGTGTCATCCGTGGCTATTTATAGAAGAAGCCTCTAACAGAGAAGTGGAAAAAGACTTCAATTCTGTTTATAGTCGATTGGTACTGTGCAAAACATATAGGTTGGATGAAGATGGCAAAGTTCTAACCCCAGAAGAGGTATGACAGATTATTCATTCACTATCATTGTTCTCGTGTATATATTTAATAAATATATTCAATAAATAATAAAGGAAATTTTCCAGTTATTATATCGTTGCGTCCAGTCTGTAAATTTAACACATGACAATGCACATGCTCAGATGGATGTGAAATTACGTTCTCTCATCTGTCTCGGATTAAACGAACAAGTGCTTCATTTATGGTTAGAAGTTTTATGTTCCTGTGTAGAAGTAGTACAAAAGTGGTAAGTAGATAAGTGTACAAACATATTGTCTTTGTGTGTATGAGTGTGTGTACCGTAGAATAGTACATACTTCCTGCTACAATTTATAATAGCATATAAAATTAATATGCTAATATCTAAATATAATTTAGGTATCAACCATGGAGCTTCATAAATAGTCCAGGTTGGGTGCAAATAAAATGTGAATTAAGAATATTAAGTCAATTTGCATTCAACTTGAACCCCGACTGGGAACTACCGCCCAAAAAGGAACAATCACAGCCTTTAAAAGATGGAGTTCGCGATATGCTAGTCAAACATCATTTATTTAGTTGGGATCTTTAGCATATAAGATAGAGTTAACAATTAATAAGTCTATGCCACTATTCTGATTTTTGTCCAGAAATTTGGGATCTAATTTTCCATTTCTAGTCTCTAATTTAATATAGTAAAAAGATCAGAATATATTTAAATATATTTTAATTTTTTAAAATTTTTATAAATAACGGCAATCTTGAAGATTGGAGAGATTTTTATCGTCTAAAATTTTGAAGTTTAATGCACAATAATGACTAAGAAACGTAATGTACAAATAAATAATCTCGTTTTTATCATGATAACAGCATTTATAGATGTTATTGAAAAAAATTTATATTTTATTAATTTATTATATTTAATTGCACCCACGGATATGATAAACAGTCGTGATAGAAGAGACCCTATCTTACATATTGAATCTTTTCTTTTTTATATATCCAAGCAAATTATATTTTAAGAAGCTTTTTAAAGTAATATCTCTGTAAAAGTAATTCTGTATCTACCGAAATAATTAACAACTTCGGAGAAAAATAAGATATATCTATGAAATAAAAATACTAGGATAGAAAGTATTAGATAACCAAAGTTGTATCGTGTCTAGTTGTATAAATGTTATTATGTAGTTATATATTCCTTTATGAAAAATTAGTTTTATAATTCTTTATCATAAGAGAAGAAACGTTGATACACTCAACAAATAATATAATAATATATGTATATGTATAAACATATTATACGATCTCTGTAGATATCTCTATGTATGTAAAGAGAATATATATTGTCATATCTTCAAGCGTGTTACGTAGTAAACATTATAATTTAAGAGATTTATTTTTAAGCAGTGCCTTTTTGATATACGGATATAATTGAAAAATATTCTCTATGTATATATTTAAAAATTTTCAGCATTTACAATGTGAATTATCTATTTTCTTCCAAAGGAATATCGTTAAAAACGTATAATTTATTTTATATAACATAATTATGTAATAATGTAGGATTTTTCATAGATATATTCTTTGTATATTTATTAATTAATCAAGTTTATGCTTTTTATTACAACACGAATCTGTGAAAGTTTTATCAATGATTTTTATATTAAGAAACGGTTTTTCCCCTTTAGCTTCAGTAGTTGAAGGTGAAATTTGTAAAAGTCTGTCTTTGTCAAATTTTAAGGAAGCACATGTAGCCTTGTACTTTTCAATGGTCAATGCGTCAATATGCAAATCGTGTACGTCCAAAATAACTTTTTCGTACGTTGGTTTGTCAGAGGAATCAATCTCGCACTTGCACAAACGTTTTTTGATATAAATAAAATGTAAATCCATAACATTGGTGCCAGTTTTTCCCGTCTTAATTAAATCCGCTCCCTTCTTGAAGCGCGAGTAGAAATTATACGTGTCGTTTTCTTTTAAAACATTCTCAGGTAACATGCGTTCCGCCTCCATTGTCTTTAATATTAAATTATCGATACGTTCGTCGACATCTTCTCGAGGAGACTCTTTTGGACTACTACTGGACTCTCGTCTCTTTGGTTCAACGTTGGATTTTATTATAAATCTACCGGTTTGTCGGTCGCACGAATCCTGCGTCCGAGTTTTTCTGTCCGTCGTCTCCCGCTCAGTTTGCGCATCCTCTTTAGTAATCATGGATTTAATTTTTGCGTAAAAATCATGCATCACAGGCGCAATAGCGGGATAACCGAATGCACCTGCTGCGTCAGTAGGACCATCCTGACCATCAGTACCTGCACTGAGCATCATCACATCGTATTCAGCGAGTCGCGGATAACTTTTGATCTTTGCCAACCAATCTAGCGAAAAGCGTAAAGCTAGCTCCTGATTTCTACCGCCTTTTCCTTTACCCGTCACTACAACCGTGGGTTCTCCTCCCCCGATTAAGACTATACCACCGAGATTCTCGATACAACGAAAGATTTCATTGACTTTATCGATAGATAACGAAAGTATCGGCATAGTCCGTACTCTGTCATAAAATTCCTCTCTCCCCAGCTCATTTAACAAAACAAGACATATCAGACTCGTTACGTGAACGTACGCCGAACTAACGTCCTGTACATTTCCCGTAACGTCATTCCTTAATATTATCGGAGTCAATTTCTTGCGCGAAGCTTCGAAGCTCGCAGCTTCAAGAGCCGTCCTATTGTTTCCCAGAATCATATTCGTCACGTGTCTGAACTGTTTGGCCGGATTCAACAGCGGTTTGTCGTTAAACGTCTCCTTGGACGTTACAACCGCCTTCAAATCACCCTCCAGCGACTGATACAAGTTATACTTCTTTAATATAGCGACAACATTCTCCGGTGATCTCGGACTGTAAACGGTGGGACCGCTGGCAATTAAGTCCACGGGATCGCCGACAATATCGGACAATATCAGCGTGACAACGGACGCGGGATAGGCCATACGCGCCAGACCGCCACCCTTTACCAGAGACAGCTTCTTCCTCACGGTGTTAAGCTCGGTGATATCGGCGCCTGCGTTTTGCAGCTTCCTACAGAGCTCCAGCTTGTCCTCCTGGTCCAAGACGGGCCTCGGCATGTACAGCAATGCGGATCCTCCACCCGATACCAGTACCACGAGAGTGTCCGTTTCGGTCAGCTTCTCGACCAGGTCTATAATGTCGTGCGTGGTGTCCAACGACCTGCCGTCAGGTTGGTTGTCGACGCCACCCTCGCGATAGTCTATCCTGCTGTTGTGTAACCTAGGGAAGCCAGATTTATCCTCGGAGGCCCAAATAGCGTCCATCGATACACTTGGAACGCTGACAATGCCTTTCTTCAAAGCGTCGCCGAGCTCTCGCTCGAGCTCCACGGCCATTCCCATAACCGCCTTGCCGAATCCGACGAGATAAACGTCCCCCTTGAGCGGGAAGCTCTTGTCGTCGACGTGCAGGACGTTGTCGCGGAGTTTCACCCTCTTCCTTATGATCTCGCTCGGCGACACCGCTTTCACGGCGGAACGAAAGATATCCCGCAAATCGGCCCTCGACTCCGATAGAAATTTTGTGTCCGTTGCCATACCGCGATTTAAATTTATCGTACACTTGGACATTTTCAAGAGGTTAGGACGAAATGTGACCGAACGACTGGAAAAATCAAAATAAACATAAACGAAACGTTTCCCCGAGACGTTCAAATTGAACCGATGAAAATTGCAGAGATTGCGCACTTGCCTGTGCAAAATGAACTTGTGGAATATTCTCTTGCGCATTACGATCGATTGTTGAGCGCATTAACCGCGGCAAGGAGACTCTGATAACACACCACGGCATCTTTTCTTTATCAGTAGTTTTCACGCTGTGTTCTACGTCACGTGTTTACGAAATATTTAAATTAAAAACGTCTCGATGCTTCATGTTTCGTAAAATGTACAGTTTCATATAACTTCGCTTGCAGGACCGTGTAAAAGAAATATACAGCGAAAATTTCGTTAAAACACAACTATATAACTGTTTCTCATTATTTTTAAATTAATATTTCTTCAAATTAGTTCGTATTGAAATTAATTTTGCTTTCAGTTACTTTTCATTAGCTTTACAAATATATTTTACACTATTTGCAATTGTGGCATCCGCTAAGAGAAGTAAATTAAAATTAATAAAATTGTACTTACGATGTTCAATATTGCAAAACAGATTAAATACGATATATTATCAATTAAAAATGAAATGGCCAGAGATTGTAATTTTAATTCTTTATTAATAGTCAATAGTCAAGTTGGATCGAAAAAAGTTTTCAGTTTATTATAGAATTATAAAATTCTATTTGTGTAGTTCTATTTTTGTGATTTATAAATTTCTATTTGTTCTATTTATATTTTATGTAATTCTATTTGTTCTATTTTGGAATTTTCTAAAACTACATTCTAAATGATTTCGTAGATATTGTATTTCAAGTCGCACTTAAAAAGGATTTTACATTTCGTGCAGATTAATTTTTTCGCAAACATTGGTGGATTAATTTTTAATCGTTAGACAACCACGTTTCTATCAAACAAGCGAAATTTGGGTTTCGACAATTATGTGTTGTCATTGGCAAGAACGGGCAAAGATGTCATTTTGTTGAAATATAATTATTTAAACTAGAACGTTTCGTACTCAAAGTCTTCTACAGTTAGCATTAGAGAGTATTAAAGAAAATAAAATGTTCCATACATATTAAAAATTCGAAAACTATTAATGTTATAGGTTATAAAATTCGAAAACTATTAATGTTATAGGTTATAATAGGTTTATAAGTGCGAAACTCAAGCGTGTCCATGTTCGAAATTCTTGTTGGCCCTGAAAAGGGCCGGTCATATCATAGCCAAATTCCAATTTACTTGGAACTGGTGTACTTCGTTACTGCCTTGGTGCCTTCGCTGACCGCGTGTTTCGCCAATTCGCCCGGCAACAGGAGCCTCACGGCCGTTTGTATCTCCCGGGAGGTGATCGTCGAGCGCTTGTTGTAATGCGCCAATCTCGATGCTTCAGCCGCGATTCTCTCGAATACATCGTTCACAAAGCTGTTCATGATGCTCATGGCTTTGCTGGAAATTCCCGTGTCCGGGTGTACTTGCTTCAGTACCTTGTAGATGTAAATGGCGTAACTTTCCTTCCTCTTCCTCTTTTTTTTCTTGTCGGTCTTGCTAATATTTTTTTGGGCCTTGCCGGCCTTCTTCACGGCTTTGCCGCTCGCTTTGGGAGGCATTTTCGTACAGTCGGAAAGCTATTTGCGGATGAAACCACGATACAGCGTCCGCGGTGTGTGCGCAAGAAAAACGCTGTAAGATCGGCGCAATGGTATATATACCAGCCGCGAGCTGGCTACGGCGCGCCAATCAGAAGGACGGAAAGCAACCGCGCGTTCCTATTGGTGGAGGGGGCGCCATCGTCGCAGAGTATAAAAGCGCATCGTTCCCGTTCGAAACGTCACAATCCTCTTGGTTCTCACGAACGAAGGATCTCCGTTAACCCGTATTCGCTAATTGAGCAACATGTCTGGACGCGGAAAGGGTGGCAAAGTCAAGGGAAAGGCGAAGTCTCGTTCCAACAGGGCGGGACTGCAGTTCCCCGTGGGCCGTATTCACAGACTGCTGAGGAAGGGAAATTACGCCGAGCGCGTTGGCGCCGGTGCACCGGTTTACTTGGCCGCGGTGATGGAATATCTCGCCGCTGAAGTATTGGAGTTGGCTGGTAACGCCGCTCGTGACAACAAGAAGACTAGGATCATTCCCCGTCATCTGCAACTCGCCATCCGCAACGACGAGGAATTGAACAAGCTGTTGTCCGGCGTGACCATTGCCCAGGGTGGCGTCCTGCCGAACATCCAGGCCGTTCTGCTGCCCAAGAAGACGGAAAAGAAAGCATAAATCCGGCATCGATCACAAATGGCCCTTTTCAGGGCCACAACATGTTTTTTACGAAGGAATGGTCTTGTTTAGCTTTAATACCTGCTTTACTCCACTGAACGAACATTATTTTTCCTTTCATATAATTAACCCTTTAGCTATGACTAGTCAATAGATCGAATAGACAACAAATCGAACATTTCGCGAAATATGGCCATTGGCCGACGTCCAATAAGCGATTTTACTACGATTTTAAGATATGCTGCGATGCGGGGTCTGCGGAGATCGCTTATGAATATATACCCATAGTTAAAGAGTTAACACTGTTATTACTGTTAACAGAATTGATAGGGCCAAAGCATATAACGGCGTAGCGATATACGACGGTCGTAGTCCCCGACCTGACGGATCAGAATACGCTAAAGCTTGCGTTACCTACTTACGACTACGAATGTCATATGTGCTTGGCCCTTAGATTAATAATCCTCCGTATGAAACGATTTGAACGTTGCAACGTATTGACGTATACCGTTCGTATTATTGTATTTTTAATGTCTATAATAATTGTTACAATTTAAATATTTAAAAAATTGAATTGATCATGTCTTTCAATTAATTACCGCATGGACGAACGTATTTTTAGTTAGTTATGAGATTGAGAGCTCTTTACTTTCAATTATTAATTTAAGAGTAAACTCGTTTAATATCTTTAGAGAGACGTTCGTAGACAAAACAAATATTATTTCCTAATAATGCCAAAGATCTGAGTTTGTTTTGTACATGAACAGTTATTATTTATTTCCTCTAGAATTCTATCTGGCGATTTCGCTCGCTTTGTAACTTTTTTTTGCTGACATAATAAATATAAAAAAAATAAATAAGAATATACAAGAAATAGTGCATATCTATACCTTAGAGTACTTAGAGGTAAAAAGTCATATTTCCATTACTAGAAATTGAGAAAAAGCAGGATATATTTGAAGTAAAGAATCGTATCTCTATTATTAAAAATTTACAGAAAATAGGATTTCAAGTTTATTATTTAAACATTGTATCTTAAGAACTATAATAACAATAATGATAATAATAATAATAGACATAAGACCTATTGTACAATTTAAACTTTTGATATATTGAAAAAATATTAACTCCAACTTTGACAAAAACTAGAGATACGTTTCTTTACGTCTGTAAGGTACAGATATACATGTATCAAAACATTTTCATTTGCTCGTGACTTATCTTGTTTATTTATATATTTAACCAATAAATATCTGAAAACGATTTAACATCGAGCAAAGTACATGTGAAATCGTCTCGATTCTCAACACAATGTATCACGAAATGGCGTTGGAAGAGAATTGTCCTTTTCCCATTGTTCGAGCGTCAAATATCACACAAAGAAACGTGGTTCTTCTGTGCCACTTATACAATTTTTGTGTCATAAATCCACTTTCGATATTTATTTAGAATCACATAGCACGTACTCTGGAGAATAAAATTATTCTCTCGACTAATATATTAGCAAAAATACATAAGCAAAATTATATCTACATAAATGCTTCACAAAATACGATTTCCTTAATTTATATCTCGAATTTTATCGTGAGACCGTATAAATCGTTTTAACATAATTACGTTGCAAATATAAAATTTTTTAGTTTGCATGTTTAAATGCGTTAAATTAAATTGTTTAATGGAAAGATACGTTTGGAGCCGACAAGTCGACTCTCCACAATCCAGTTTAAAGGAATAACCCAATGCAATTTTGACATTTTTGCGCCTTATTACACGTTCATATGAATTTTATTGAATCATTTAACTTATTTTATTGTGTTGCAAAATTATCCACATATACGTTTCGTTCATGCATTCTGTAATTTGGCATCAGGCTACTCCTCCGACAACGCGAGGCAGCTGTTACTGCGTCGCACCAATGACGTCGGGCTCGGGCCCAGCTGCGACGTGATTGGTCGTTGCGTGGCTCGTCCGTATCGTATATATATGGGAGGGATTCCGGGGCAAACGATCAATCGACGCTCAGACTTCGTTAGGACAACTACTCGTACGCTGAGAGTTATACGTTGATACCAAACCGATTTCATCATGCCACCGAAAGCCAGTGGGAAAGCGGTGAAGAAGGCGGGCAAGGCTCAGAAGAACATCAGCAAGACCGATAAGAAGAAGCGTAAGAAGAGGAAGGAGAGCTATGCTATCTACATCTACAAGGTGTTGAAACAAGTACACCCTGATACTGGCATTTCCAGCAAAGCCATGAGCATCATGAACAGCTTCGTCAACGATGTGTTCGAGAGAATTGCCGCCGAGGCGTCAAGATTGGCGCATTACAACAAGCGATCGACGATCACGTCTCGTGAGATACAGACCGCCGTCAGGCTTCTTTTACCCGGAGAATTGGCAAAGCACGCTGTCAGCGAGGGAACGAAAGCAGTGACCAAGTACACTAGCTCCAAGTAAATTGGAATTGACTACGACGACCGTATAAACGGCCCTTTTCAGGGCCAACAAATATCTATAACATGGAAATTTCTTGTTTCGTTCACAATATCCACGTCCCTAGTTGGAATTTTTAGTAATAACGGATAAAACTCTTTAAACTTAATATGTATTTGCGATAAACAATAAAGAAACTTAAGTAATATAATTGTGATAAAGTGATTTGTGATAACGATAAATACAGAGATATTTATCTACGTAGTTCATTTATCGTTATATAAACGTTTTAGAATGCTTGATATTTCAACTGAAATTATATCTAGATTCAAACTGGCTGGAGTAATAATTTTCGTGATAAATTCTTCGCAGTAATTTAAAGGATGCTTATTAGCATCACTATATAAATCGATTAAATTGTTTTAATCATGTGAATTACTATTCCAACGAGATTGTTCAAAACCGGCAAATACTTAATCACGCGCAGTTTGCAGTGTGTAGAGATGTATATTAATTCATAAAAAGAAATAGGTTATAAAAATTCAGTTCTGCCGGAAAAGCATTTCTTTGCAGTAGTATTCACATATCAGTCACATTTTATTAATTGAAATTATTAAGCTTTAAATGCTTTAAAGTATTGTCTTAGGTGTATAGTGTCTAACGTCTATTATTCTACTTACATTAGTACTAATAAATAGCATTTGGCTTCTTAAATTTTCAGTTGAATACGAATAAGATTTCAGTTGCGAATAGTTTGACAATGTTCTAATATCTCAGACTCATGTGATGACCTTTAACACAGAGCTGTTTTTATTACGTAAATATTTAGAAATAATGACCTCTCAAATAAATCAACATTCAATCATAGTTATAATACTCATAATAGTCATAACTGTAACTGTTAATAGCCAGAACGCATCCGTTATATCAACCATTTTCTAGTTGCTTTTATAAGAATGCTAACTAAAATAATGGATTTTCAAATCTTTTGATGAAGAATCATACTTTATCATCATTTATTAGATATACATTCACGATCATTTATTCGCTTATACAGATCAGCCTAATGTTCATAGACTAAGTACCTATATGTATACAGAGATTGAGATTAGATTGAAATTTGACCAATTAGATAAAAGTTCACTAAACTCAAGATTAGTTTTCTTTATATTCTGATTAAATCAGAATAAAGGCTTTAATTAAATTATACTTGAGCCATATTCACCACTTTAGAATATAAGACGAGAAAATATCTAACAAGGTGTTTTCTTAAAGTTTGTTATTTTTAGGAAATAATAAAATTCAATGGGTAAATTGTGTTTGCACAAATGTTTTAAATAGTTTAAGTAGAATCAAATCCTCTAAAAAAAGTAACATTTGCTTAATATTACGTATACGTATATTTGAGAATTTTGTATTTACTGTTTGAAATTAAATTTTGACATTCAATTGTATACAACTATACATTTGCTTATATCTTTATTATTTTCGACACGATAGAAGTTTTATATTCATGAAAATCAAGAACGTTACACACATACTGAGAATGCCCCGTGAATATAAGAATTACAAAGAAATCGCACGCGCAAAAGCATATAAAAAGATTGTAAAGATGAAATACGTAACGAGAAAGTAAATGCATTTTTATTTTATTCTGAATAAAGTTTCCTTTTCTTTTACATCACGCGGTTATCTTATAATGTCACAAAAAGACGAATACGCAAGATTAGTTGTAATATTAGATACGAAAACAAGGTGCTTGAACGTATAAAATTATTTTTAAAAACCAATTTTAAAAATATCTAAGAATTGCTTTAATAATGCTGTAACGAGAGAAATTCAATGTTCGAAATATTTGTGGCCCTGAAAAGGGCCGATTGTATACGCAGTAAAAACTGTCGTCTTCCGTCTACATTTAACCGCCGAAGCCGTAGAGAGTTCTTCCTTGGCGCTTCAGGGCGTAGACAACGTCCATGGCAGTCACGGTCTTCCTTTTCGCATGCTCGGTGTAGGTAACCGCGTCACGGATAACATTTTCAAGAAAGACCTTCAGCACACCACGTGTCTCCTCGTAAATTAGTCCAGAGATACGCTTGACTCCGCCACGGCGCGCCAGACGACGGATGGCCGGCTTGGTGATACCCTGGATGTTATCGCGAAGTACTTTACGATGTCGCTTCGCTCCTCCTTTTCCCAATCCCTTTCCTCCCTTACCGCGACCAGTCATGATGAATTAAGTTTTCAATCGCTTTGATACGTGTGCTCTACGAGAAGAGTCAAACGATTTTGGTGCCTGAACGCAGAAAATTGCCGGTTTTATCACCTGGCCGCAGACACGCTCCCCACCCTGACGGCGTCCGCCAATAGGAACGCTCCCCCTCCACTCCTAGCGCGCCCCACTCTTGAAGCACCGACCAATCACGCGCGACGTAGTTGGTCCGTGCTGCATATATAGAGGCGACTTTTCTGCAAAACGTTCAATCTGACAAGGGAGCTTCGCTCGAATCGCTTGTTCGCTGTTCACATTGACGCATATCGATTGACCGTTGCGATGGCACGTACCAAGCAGACTGCTCGCAAATCGACCGGAGGAAAGGCGCCCCGGAAACAATTGGCCACTAAAGCTGCGAGGAAGAGTGCCCCGGCCACCGGCGGTGTGAAAAAACCTCACCGTTACAGGCCCGGCACCGTGGCCCTTCGTGAAATCCGTCGTTACCAGAAAAGTACGGAATTGTTGATCCGTAAATTGCCATTCCAGCGACTCGTTCGTGAGATCGCTCAGGATTTCAAGACTGACCTCCGCTTCCAAAGTTCTGCTGTGATGGCTCTCCAGGAAGCTAGCGAGGCGTACCTCGTGGGTCTTTTCGAAGACACGAACTTGTGCGCTATTCACGCTAAGCGAGTCACCATCATGCCGAAAGACATCCAACTGGCACGTCGTATTCGTGGCGAGCGAGCTTAGGCGCAACAGTTTTATATAAAACAATCGGCCCTTTTCAGGGCCAACAATTCTTTCAAGAAGGATAATCTCACGTTTGCGTACACTTTTAATTTCTATTTATAATTATAGCTAAGTTTACTTCATTCCTCTTTCTAATATTACTAGTAAATTCTTAAAATCTATTGGTAAAATTATTAATATAGTAACATCTGAAATATGTCCAAAATTTCTATTTGTACTTGAAGTTTGAAATATTTCTTCCATATATTATAATTTATAACAAATTAAATGTAAAATTTTTTTTTTTATTTATCTCCCAGTGTATTTACAATCTGTCAAAGATATTAAGTAAATCGAGTAAAGTACATACAAGACCGTGTAGGCACATTCCCAGTGGAATATGCTCCCTTACATTCACAATTAGAGTGTTGTGTTTCTAGTGTTTCATGTGAAAAAATTTAAATTTAAATAAATCTATTAACAGAATCTGATGGTTGGTGACGTTTTAATTTTCTCATATCCGTTCTTTTCGATAACAGCCAAACCTTGTTGCTAGTTGGTTTGGATGAGTCCAGTCTCAGAACGTACTTCCCAGTATGAGCTGCTATTGTTTCCTTTACTGTTTTGATATTTAGATCTCTTCGTAGTATTTCATTAAAATAATTTTAAAGGAAAAGTCACTTCTTAATTCAAAATATTCAAATTCATTATAACTTATAATCTACGATAAACAACACTTGAATTATTAACGAGTATAAAAATGTTGCTAATACAATTTGCAAACCTAGTAAAATCCATGCGGTATAACATGTCATATATTTTAGATATATGAACGTATAATTTTAAAATCGAATTTTGTGTAGGTACAATTTATATTTTATTTAATTGATCTGAGTTGTAATTTTAATTTAAGTAAATAGTTTATAGTTACATCTGCGTTAGATGTTTTATCGATATATCTTTCGGGAAAGGAGGGCGTGAATATATATAACTTAAATAGATTTTTATCAGAGAAAATATTAAGATTCATCAAAATATTATAATATTCAAGCAGTCTCTTAATTAAAATTTTTTGAAGATTTTAGCCATTATTGAACTTACATTAATCATACTATTAATATAAATATTGCTTAAAGAAAAAAAGCTTTTATTTTTAAAACGATATGTATTCAAAAGTAAAAATATGCAAATATCTACGAAGAATTTCACGCGAAGTATATACTATGTAAGTGACTTCATAAATAAATTTCTCTAACAATAAGTTTTAAATATAGACGATGAATTGCCGATAATATTTATAATCTTCTTTTTATTTTTCCAAATTTTATTAATTTACCCTGAAGTAGAAATTTTCTGCTTAACTTAAATTTCTCGCTTAAGACTCGTTTTTCCTAAAATTCAAAATTGAGTATTATATGTGAAAAACGGAGATACTAGAAAAATTAGAGATATAAATAAGTATAAATAAATTAGATGTAAATAACTACGTCTATATTTTTTCTTTATAATAAATTTATGATTTTAATAGTAATTTTAAATCTAAAGTTCACCTTGGATTTCTGCATGTTTTAAAACTCATCTCATATTCTTTGTATTTGTTTATGTTATATTGACATTTGAATATGAAATAGCATCTAAAAGTTTCCTAAACTGAATTAGTTTGCGCTAACCGATTGTAATTTATTAGCCAAACTCAAGTTACAAGAAGTACTGGTGAGAAGCATAAGGAAACTCTGATAATTACTTTTAGCAATAGAAAGAATAGCTGGAAATTAATGTATCAAATAAAGAACTATTTTATGAAAAGGTATTATGTCAAATATTCCAGAATTGTGTATTAAAATGTACATTTGAATTAAATGTAGCATTGTAGTTGTGTTTAGTTTATATTTGTTTCTTAACCTCCCCTTCCTCTGTTTGTATACGTTTTTTCTGCATCCTCGGAGTGTACACGTGGCTCTATCACATTTGACGCTATTTTTCTCTACTTTAAAGTATTTATAAAAATCTGAAAAAAATTCACTAAACGTCTGTCTATATTGTAGTTGACGATTTTATAGTCATTTTGATAAACGTCGTTTATTTAATAATTTTTGGCAGGTTTGCAAATTTCTAAGTTACAAACAGATGTCACGGCTCGGACGCCGTAGACTCACGTATACAGACGGTTAATACAATTATGGAAACATTAGAAACTTTTAAATATAATCGCGTACTTATCGTGATATAATAAAACAAATGTTATAAGTAATTTTAATTTTTATTAATTCAACACTACTAGAGTGCGGTCTGGTAAAGTCCAAGTACTATAAACATAGCGTTATTTCTATAACTGCTCTGTGTTATATATTGTAATAAAAGAAAGTTTTATAACAACTATGTTAATTTTCTTATAGTATAATTTAGGTCCAAGTATCAAACTCAATTTAAAATATTCTAAAAACTTCATATTTTTACGATTCAGGCTCTTAAATTAGCTGGGGTGGTAAACTTTTACTAATCGTATTTATATTTTCTTAATAGCACTAAGTTAAAGCTATTATTACAAAATTCAAATGACTGTTTTGTATTATTTTAATCCAAAAAGTGCCATAATGTACATTCTATTTGACGTAACACATTTCCCACTAATTTCAACATTAGGTTATTAATCTAAAAATCATCTTTAATCCATAATTTATATTTTATTTATTTACATTTTGTCTTAAATAATGAAAAATGAAAATGAGAAACGTTGAAAGTGGTTTCAGCAGTGGTAAGGTATATTCAAAGAAACGTATGATCAACCGTCATAGCAGCTGGTAGCAGCATGCAGCCAATGGCAGCGTCGCTCGCACGCCATTGGTCGACGTTATTGACACGCATTGCATATATATAAGAGCCACTGGCACCATCGAAGGCAAATCGCGTTCTGCTGTCGCACTGTTCGTGTCGATACGTCTCACGCTCAAATCTCAAATAAGTCAAGATGTCTGGACGTGGCAAAGGAGGCAAGATTAAGGGCAAGGCGAAGAGCCGCTCCAACCGAGCTGGACTACAGTTCCCCGTGGGTCGTATCCATCGATTGCTGAGAAAGGGAAATTACGCCGAACGCGTTGGCGCCGGTGCCCCGGTGTACTTGGCCGCCGTGATGGAGTACCTTGCCGCCGAAGTGTTGGAGTTGGCTGGCAACGCGGCCCGCGACAACAAGAAGACCAGGATCATTCCCCGTCACCTGCAGCTCGCCATCCGCAATGACGAAGAATTGAACAAGCTGCTCTCGGGCGTCACCATCGCCCAAGGTGGAGTGTTGCCTAACATTCAAGCGGTGCTGTTGCCGAAAAAGACTGAGAAGAAGGCGTAATCGTAAACCGATTGCGAGAGACAACAACCTTTGGTTTGCAGCTACTGGAATTAACAAATGGCCCTTTTCAGGGCCCCAAATATTCATACGATGGCATAATCTTGTCTGCTTGATGTACAATTTGTTCCTTATTTTTATTTTTT